CCACTGTAGAGAACATACAAGCCGACATCGAGTCCAGAACCAAATATAACGAAGCGGTTCGCAATGCCAAAAACCAGCACGAGTTAGGCACAGGGTGATGTCACAGCGCAATAGCAGTCGGTCTTTTTAGACACTGGCCAAGCAGATTGAAAAGAACTTCTCACACAGTAGCCTTCCATCACTTACGTGTCAAGATGGAACGATTGTATTGGACTCAAAGGCCAAAGCGGAAGTGCTTGAAAAGATCTTTGCTGTCAACTTCACCACGGACGTCCCCTCCAACGCCCAATGGTCTAAGACCGACCCTTACAACTACAGGCCAATAGCTCTGCTTTCTGTTACAAGTAAGGTGTTGGAGAGGTGCATAAATCGCGAGCTTCTTGACTACCTCGAACGTCACAGCTTGACTAGCGACAGGGAGTATGGTTTTCGTCACCAGCGATCCACAGGGGACCTCCTAGCTTACGTCACGCAAGTGTGGAGTAAACTCATCCAGTCTTATGGTGAGGCTCATGGCGTTGCTCCTGACATCACGAAAGCGTTCGATCAGCTGTGACACGGTGCCCTTTTAAGCAAACTTCCAGCCTATGGCCTCCCAGAGAAGCTTTGCAGATGGGTGGGTGACTTTATCTCAGGCCGTAAGATATCCCGTCGTACCTTTGATGGGTTCTCCACTTCATCCCACAAGGTCAACGCGGGTGTTCCCTACGGATCGGTCTTGGCTCCGACACTGTTCCTCTTACATATCAACGACCTCCTTTCCTGCACGATCAACCCAATCCACAGCTTCGCTGATGACAGCACTCTACATACAGGAATTCACAGTGACACGCCGACGAACAAAAAGCGACCTAGCGCTCATCCGGTTCCGATGGATGGCCGAGTTCGGCCAAAGAGCCGTTCATTTCGGCTGGTCGGAGTCCAGATCACCGAGAACCTGATCTGGCACGAACTCATCTCGTCAATAGCGGCAGCTGCTGGGGAAAATTTAGGTTATTTATTTAGGGCTAAGAAGTACTTTTCTCCGCATGACCTTCTCACTCTATATAAGGCCCAGATAAGGCCTAGCCTCGAGTATTGCTCACACGTTTGGGGTGCTGCCGCACCGACTACATTATTTATGCTCCATGCTGTCCAGAGGAGGGCTGTCTAACTGATCGATGACTCTTCTCTAGCAGACAGCCTCAGGACCCTTTCACATCTGCGAGCCGCCGGCAATCTCCTCCATGGTGAGGTTCCGCGATGTGTCTGCCAGACAGACCCGCCTTACTTCGGCGTCCCATCCTAACCGTGTCAAACTTCGTACATCCAGAACTGGCCGATACGACCGCTCATTTGTCCCGAGAGTGTCGAGATTGTGCAACAATCTACAAGAGTTCTACTAACTTTAGGCAGTTCAAAAATCGGGTTAACAAACTTTATTTGGCATCATCATAGCAGCCGCGTTGTTCCGGCATTTAGGCTTCTGCCTGCGCGACTGCTTTGCTATAAACAAAAATAATAATTGACTATACCTATTGATATGTTTATCCCCTGCTGATATAATAGTGCTTGATTGTGTCAGTATTTGCACCATTTACTTGATTTGTTTAATGGGCAGTTCAGAGTCTTAATCTTTAAGACATATGTACGTACATACTAGTAGACCCCGTTGCGTAATTTGTCTATAGACTGTCTGGAGACGGTCTCAAGACACGATCTATAGATGGTCTATAGACATCCTTCTTTGTCTTGTCCAGCGTCCATACGATAATGTGAATTTTTTGGTCTCATGTTCGTTTTCGCAATCAAAGACAAAAAGACATTGTTTTGTATGGAATAGGCTGGGATATGTTACGGGGTCCCTCAGAATGTTTTATTTATTTTATTTCGGTCAACAAAGCAATGAAGTTTTTTATGTTTGAATCTTTAATAATATTATAATGGATTTAAGGAGCAATAATAGGATAAATTCTAGAAGTTCCACTGAGGTTAAAAAATGACCAGCCCCAAATATCGTGTGCCCCCTAGACGAAATCCTAAATCCTCCCTTTCCAGACGGGCGGATGTTTCGTTATTAACAAATTCAATTTTCTCTGAAAATCGCGGATCTTCCCGGTGTCTCTGTAACATTGCGTGACAAGTCTCACCTCTTGGAACATAATTCCGGACCTGCAGAGCCTGTACTCGTTGTACTTGGTACGAGTGGTGCTCGTTCTTTCGCAAGATTCCGAGGGGTGTACTTTTGTGCATTCCCGGGCTTGCTTCTATTTGAAGTACTGAAGTACTCGGATCTTCTTCGGCTGCTTGTCGTACGACGTCCTCGTAAAGAAATTATTTCTTCACGGTTGATTTGGGAATCGCCCTTTTGAGAGTAAACGGTGCACATTCACAAAAACTCTGATCCGAATGACAAGCTGCATTTGGGTTCCTCTCAGGATAAAGCCTATCTGCAGGACTAGCATTGCATCTACATTTCCCATAAATGATGTGCATGTTGGCGTATTCCTGTACGATGTACAGAATCATAAATTAATAAAAGTGCCGTTACTATCTGCCTTGCTGTCACTTCGTAGAATAACACTGTCCTTCACTCCGTCTAAGAAAAAAATTAAATTTGTAGTAATAGGAACTAAAAGATCATCACAGATTTTTTAAGCCAATAATTTGAAAACTACACGATTTTTCATATTTTTCTGATAACTATTATGACTTGGCCTATCCCCGGTTTCTGAATTGTCATCGACTACTGGGACACCCTGTATATATTTTGTATTTTAGTATGTTTCATCTTAGATTTGAGGTAGAAGGTAGCCACCTCTATGCTTGTTTGTGCTCATATAGACAGCACCATATGATAACAGATGTCACAAATTCTCAAAGGTGACGCTAAGGTGTCTCATTTTATCTCGGATAAATTTTTTTGACGCGGAAATTAGCATTTGGTTGGCTATCTTCAGGTAGAATACGTTAATGAATAGTTGTAGTCAAAATTTCTACTGTTCAGTACTGTGGGGTACTTGTCCTTCTGGTGGTAACGATAAACATTTTTGAAATATCTATAAGCAACATAGATAACTTTTTTCACTATGCTAGAATGCAAGTAATGCATTTTCATATTACTAAAGCAGAAAAATCAACCCAGCAAGTAAATTTTGCTCAATCTGTCAATTATTGGAGTGAACGTAGATTTTAACCCGAGAACCCCCAGTCAAAAACATCAATTAAATGTGATTTTGTTGTCTAAGTAGGTTTTTGTACAAATAGTTCATTCCGCGCTTGCTACAATTGATCATGAAGTGAACGACAGCTAGTTCCAAGTTGACGTCTTGTAGGAAAACCTACATAATGTCAAAAAACCGATATAATGCCACCTTTCAAGTTACGTAATACCCCTGCCGTTTCCACTGAATGCATTTTTTTAAATTCTTATTGGAATGCGTTTAAAATAATGTATGTTCAAATGTTTACCCATTAATTTTGGGCGCTTCATATTTTCGATCGTATTTTTTTCTAAGTGTTTTTCATGTACATAAAATATATGGTTATTCACAATATACACAATATACCTTCTGATAAGCCCCATCAGACCTAACAAAAAGTGCATATGAACTATGTGTTTTACGGTTTCGTTACCGAGAGACAAGGTGTTCACTCTATTACTGAACATTTTAATTTCTCTTAAATTACTTGAGTGATTCGGATGAAACTCAGTAAAACGACGGTAAGCAAGATTTATAGAGTTAAAAGTAAATCCAAAAATAGCAGCACCTAGAACCATAAGCCATAAAATGCTCCAGTACTAAGATATGGGGTGTTGTAATTTCTATGACACTGATCAGACTGAATAAGGACAAAACGTGAAAACGCTGTGTCGAAATATTATTACTTTTCTATTTTAGGAGTAGAACAGGATGCATTTTTTATATGGGTTTGACCTCAAATGTTCAAACCAATTTTTCACCAAAAAGAGTAGGCTGACAAAATTGAATACCTTATTTTAAAATGCAACAGATGTTTCTCAAAAGTCAATGGCACAGAAAAAAATTTTCAATTTCTTCTGCAGTGGTAAAAATTTCCCAAATTCTACGCCACTGCGAAGTTTTAATTTAATAACGAAATACAACCCAAATATATGCAGGGTGACTTTTTGGTGTGGGTTCAGTCAATAACTATGTTATTACAGCCAACAGCATGCATACTTGGAAACTATTTATATCCCCACATGGTGATTCATAACTATGCGATGACATAAACAAAACATATGTCATTCAATGGAAAGCACTACATTTTATTGCAGATTTGGAAAGGTCGTTTCAAATGAAACAATTAGATATAACACAAAAAAGACTTTGACAACTCCACAGCTGTTATAGCTACGGTACTTAATGTCTTCCTAGAAAAATATCATGATCCCGTATTTTCTCCATATGTACTTGCTTCTCCACAACATTTTCAAATGGAACACCCCTGTATATTTTAACACTCTTTGATTCACCTCTTCACAAGCTTTTTTTATTGAAGCTTTACGGGGGTTTGTATCACTGGTTCTTTAGTTACAACAATCAATGTAAATAAAAGATATTACAATACATTTCAAAATGTAAAACAGTATTTAGTTTGCAGCAGCAGATCGTTAGAATTGATGTCTTCCAACGCTCCACTTAATGTAAAATCATCTTGATAAAGAGAGCTTATTCTAATTTTTCCTAACGTATAGGCAAAAAACTGCTAAATTGATGATAATCTAAAAATTATCGCATTTTTTTCTTAAATCTAACCTGGTAAACATATGTACTAATTGCGATCCTGGTTTAAAAGGCCACACTTAAGCCGGTCCTGCTTGATATCTCCTTAAAGACTGGCTCCTGCTCATAAACAAAACGATTGTCAAATATTCTATCAATGAAATGACGTAACTTCATTCTCATTGGTTGCGCGCGACGTCCCACGTGATCATTGACCAATTGCGTTGCGCTGATCCAGAGGATTTTACTAAAATTTCCCTTTCCCCTGTGTTTCACAGAAACAGCAACAATGCCTGCCTGGATCATTCTGAGTTTCGACTTGGTGTGGCAGACATGTCCCCTAGTTTTCCGTTTTTTTTGTTTGAATTATCACAATTTCTTAGCAAAGACATGTTAAGAGTAGTGCTTAGCTCTAGTGCGAATGTGTAGTGAACGTTTAAAACAATCTCAATAGGACTTGGACTGTAGCAAAAATGCCAACCACACCGGAAAGTGATTACGATACAGTGACCAACGAGGGGCTGCTGTCGCTGCTAAGAAACGATTCGAAGAATATAGTGATTCTTGACTGCCGTAGTTCTAATGAATTCAGCGAGTCTCATATACGGGATGCTGTTAATTTTTCGATACCGTCAATTATGTTACGGAGGCTGGCTGCCGGGAAAATCGACCTAGCTTCCACCATAAAATCCAGAGAATTGAAAACAAAAATCTGTAGTACATACAAGGATAATCTGTTCGTGATATACAATGATTTGTCTGCCGCACAACATTATCAGAACGATTCAGTCTTCAATGTTTTGTACAGAAGGTTAGCGCAAGATGGCTGCCATGTTGTTTGCCTTGAAGGTTAGTATGTAATTTTTGTTTACAAACAGAGAAATCCCAGCTGGGCCGGATATTTATGAATTAAAATTTATGTAAACTGGAAAATTCACGTTATTTGAGTCACATGTAAATATTTGTTTCATCTCTCATTCAGGTAATGAGCTAATTTATACCTGTCAGGTGTACTTATGTATGTTCTCTTATAGATATTTACCAACAGAAATCTAGGTAAAATCTGGTGTTTTGGGCGTTTATTCATGGTTTATCAATGAATTACAATATACAATACCCATTCAAGTTTTTCTCTCACTTGTTGCTATAAAGAGTTTATGGTAGTACAAAATTACAAATGAATAAAATAGTAGCTGCCTTTTTTTGGATGGCGAACTACAAATCTTCTCCATAGAAAGGGGATTCATAGGTTATTTCGGTAAAATTACATATTGGACACTAAAATTGGTACAGGTACTAAAGTGGGCTTGTGACATTTATTAGAATCAACAATATACAAGATTTCAATTAGCCTAATCCTTTACAAAGATACCTTGCAGATGGTTTGTTTTTATGTGAAATGAGATTATTAGTTGAAGTTCATCTTCTTCATTCCTATAACAGCTATTCTGATTTGTTTTAATTTGTTATTACCTTACAAGGGCTGCTTCAACTTGGGACACACCACTCATTCACTTTTATTGGTTACACCTGGGTGTTAATCATCATATCACGTCTAATGTGTGGACAACAGCTTTTTGTCCATCGGACACAATAGCAAATAGATGTAATTTGCTTGACTTTCACACTAAATGCATCACTTTGCATTCATTTATTTACTCAAATAGGATGAATGTGCCAGTAATCTGTACACTACCAGTAGGTGGACAAATAATAATTGGGAAAACCTTAAAAATATTTGAAATCGTATACTTGCTGGTAAATGGTACCAGAATTATGAATTTGTTTGTGATAGTTTCCAAAATTTTTACATCCACAATTGTCACATTGACCACAGTATTAGCGTGCCAAAATCAGCCTGCTTTTGACTCCTCAATTTTTGTCGGTTATGTAGTGAATGATAAACTTTAAAGTAATCTCCATTTGATATCAACTGTGATTTGACTAATCAAATTTGATATCAAATGCCCAATTGGACATTAGGTGCTGCAGCACTCTCCATTCCTCAGATAGACCATTATCTTTACTGCACCCATATTACTCAAATATTTTTTAATGAAATCCTGTGAATTTAGTGCTTAAGCTGAGGTGTAGTTCTAATGGGTAGTATATCTATTAGCACAAGTGGATAAAGGTGTCATGTAACAAAATCATTTAATGGAGAAAATTGACTTTAAAAATTTTTTATTGGGACTTTTTACTTTATTGACATTTTAAATATTTAGTTTAATCAGTTTGTTATCTTGTTTTGCAACAAAGTAATCTCAGAATGAAAGAATCACTCTTTAACATTAGTTTAATGCAAAAAAAGCAATTTTAAAAAAATGTTATATTTATTTATTTATTTACTCTCAACAAAAAACTGTATATAGGAATTGTCATGCATTTTCAAATCTTAAAAAAAATATATCTAACAAAAAACAGTCAAATAGTAAAAATAAGATTTAATAGCATATATCAATATTCTTTCACACTATAAAAGCTATTTTGAACTAAATAGTCTTTTTGGAAATTCTTAAAGTTTAGAAGTAGGTTAAACATTTTTAGGCCATTAATATTTGGAGACTTACACATAATTTGAGTTCTATAGGGTGGTATATAAAAGTCTTCACTAATCCTTGTATTAATTGAATGCATTTGGTCGTGTGTTGGGAATTTGTCTCTATTTTTGAATATGTATAAACAAGTTTCCAATATATATATATATAAACCAGTGTTAGTACTCTGAATCTCTTAAACAGATCTCTACATGATGTTCTAGCACTAACACCTGCTATACATCTGATAATTCTTTTCTGTTTCATGAACACATCTTTGGAATTAGTAGAGATCCCCAAAATTATATGTGATATCTTATGATAGAGTCAACTGTGCATGATACAAACTGATTTAATGGTAGAATATCTAATACATAATAGATAATACCTATAATGAATTGAGCCTCTTTATTACATAGTCAGGAATCCAAATACACACCACGGAATTTTATATATTTCACATTATTGATATTAATATTATTTAATTTGAAACTGAGTTCATTACAATTTTTTTGCCTTGTATGAAATCTAATACATTGTCTTGTTTAGATAATATACGAGGGATGTCTTTTAAGTTTTGCATATAGAAACATAGTAGCCCGCGGGGATCGAACGTCAGTACTGAATTTTTAAGTGTCACCAAGTCATTAGAAAAATGGAACTCAATCGAGAACATTTTCGTGGCATAATTTATTACAACTTTCAGAGACAATTATCGCAACAAGAATGCCTTGCTGAGTTACTGTCTGTTTTCGGCAACGAAGCGCCACATCAGTCGACAATTTCCCGTTGGTATGGAGAATTCAAACGTGGGCGGGTGTGTCGAGCGACGATCCCAGGGTGGGTGCACCAAAAACGGCAGTCCCCCAGGAAAACCTCGATGCTGTGCGCAAACTCATCATTGAAGATAGACATGTGACATATCGCGAGATTGAGGCGTCCTTGAAGATCTCAAAGACCTCAATTCAAACAATTTTACATGAAGAGTTAGGAGTAAGAAAATTACGTTTCTTGTTGGATACCCCACCAGTTGACTGAAGAGCAGAAAGCAGCTAGGGTTAATTGGTGTCAAAAAACGCTTGACCGTTTCAATTCCGGAATCTCAAAAAATGTGTACAGCATTGTTAGTGGTGATAAATCGTGGATTTACTGTTATCAACCAGAAAATAAACGACTGTCGGCTGTTTGGGTGTTCAAGGTGAAGAAAAGCCAACAAAAGTCATCCGTTCTCGAAGAGTTTCGAAAAAGGTGGTCGCGACATTTGTGTCAAAAACGGGTCATATTGCAACAATTCCTCTTAATGAGCAAAGAACTGTTACTGCGGATTGGTATACCACCATTTGTTTGCCAAAGGTCATCACTGAGCTTCGAAAAATCAACCCCGAAAGACGAATCATCCTCCACCAAGACAATGCAAGCTCGCACACAGCCCGAAAAACAAGGCAGTATTTAACGGAAGAAAACGTGGAATTATTGGACCATCCTCCATATAGTTCCGATCTAAGTCCTAACGATTTCTTTACTTTCCCGAAAATTAAAAACAGACTGCGTGATCAGAGGTTCCAGTCACCAGAAGAAGCAGTTGACGCATTCAAAAATGCCGTTTTGGATCTGCCAGCAAACGAGTGAATAAGTGCTTCGAAAATTGGTTCGAGCGCATGCAGATGTGTATTAATCTTCGTGGAGAATACTTCGAAAGACAATAAAGTCATTTAAAACTACCTGCCGTGTTGTTTTATTTCCATATGCAAATCTTAATAGACATCCCTCGTAAATTATTTTTTAGAAACCAGTTATGCAGCCTGGACAATGAAACATCTATATTATCTTGTAATTGTCTCTCTGAAAAAGCTGCAGCTACAATTGAGGTATCATCTGTGAATGAAGTTATAAATGCACCAGATACAACATTAGCTAACAAAATAAAACAGAGCCTAGAACAGTCCCCTGTGGGACACCCATCAAACATTCTTCAATCCAAGAATGAACTTCAACCCTGGTACCAACAGAGTTTAAATGACATATAGCTACATACTGCTTTCTGTTTGTGAGGAAGGGCCAACAACCATTCTAATGGCTAGCCTATTCAGAAGTGTATCATATTCAACACAGTCGAAAGCCCTTCATCATAAAATGTATGGACAGCAGAGTTTGTGGATTTAGTAGCCTGAAAACCATGCTGTCGCTCGTTAATTAGCTTGTTTTTCTCAACAAACTTCAGTAGTTGATCCAAAAAACCATATTCCAGTAATTTAGAAAAAGAGGAGCACAAAGTAAGAGGGCAGAACTTCACGTATCAAAAAGTTGGGCACCTCACCAGGACCAGATGATTTTTTATTTTCAAGTCTCTCAATGATAAGCTTGTAAAATTCTTCTAAAAAGGGACTGAGTGAAATGTATTTTCCTTTTTACGACTAGTAGTGACTATGACATTGGTTTTCTGGATTTTTGCAGTATACATTTATTGCAGCGTTTTTGAAAAATTTATTGAATGAATTAGCTACGGTTTCAGGACAGTCAGTCATGGTAGTGACTATGACATTGGTTTTCTGGATTTTTGCAGTATACATTTATTGCAGCGTTTTTGAAAAATTTATTGAATGAATTAGCTACGGTTTCAGGACAGTCAGTCATGGTACCCATATCGCCCACTTTTACCGACAAATTCTGCTGAGGTTTTGTTTTCCGTGACAATTTTTTAATGATATTAGAAGCACATGAGCCTGGATTGTTAGACTCATTTATCTTCAGTTGGTAAAATTTGCTTCTTGAATCCTTTATTAACTTTTGGTGCTCCCTTTTTGCATTTACATACAGTTGCTTAAATTCTTCATTGATTTTTGTTATTTGGAAAAGCAGCTTGAGATGTCATTAACCCACTCCCTGTCATTATTTTTTTTGTGTCGCTTCAAAATCGGAAAGTAATTCTCAAAATAAAAATTGAAAACGCTCATGAAGTATAAAAATGCAGCATCTACATCTGTATATCTCTTATAGGGGAGACTGTTGTATACTGGGATATTTTTTTTCAAATGCATAACATTTTTTTATTTTTTTGCAACTCAATTTTTTTTAATGTTTGATATATTAGCCAAAGGAACTACTTTATTTTAATAATAACACTAGTAATAAAAATTAAAAAGCTAAATGAAATCGGGCTTTGTCCCGGTAAACACCCATGTCCCACTATACAACAACATCGTGTTTTATAGTGGGACTTGCACATGTGTATACTGGGACAACTTGTAAACAAAATAAAAATGAGCAACAAGCGCATAAAACAGTCCTTAGACATTAAAATTAACACAAGTTTATTCAAAATATTATAAACAAGTTAAGCAACAAGTACAAAAAATTGGTAAATACAAAAATTTATTGTAACAAATTGTTTTTATTCTATATTAAACAAGGAATAGTCGTAATCGAAACACCATTGTTTTGCAGCTCTTGTTCCCCCCGACATAAATGGAACTGGACGTTTGGCGACAATGTCTTCCCTTACAATAAGATCATCTTTCTTTTCTGGGAACATGAATTTACCAGGGGCTGTTTTTATGTACAGCTGCTTTTCTAATCTTCATATTGTTGTTCACCAGTGCTAATACAGCAGATTTAATTTTTTCTGGATGTTCTAAATGAGCCTGTTGACTTTCTTTGTTGGATGTATTATTTTTCCGAGTTCTTTTTCTCTTATCCATTCTCTGTAATAATGAATGCTGTTAGTTACCTATTCATTAAGTATACCTATTTGTATTTAGGTCTAATATTTTTGAACAAATTTTATGCTTACTGTAGGCCTTACAACATACAGATACAAGCAGATGCAAAATCCAGTTACATAGTGGGACACCGTGTATAGTGGGATACAGTCCCACTATGCACCGTCCCACAATGCAACAGTAGACGCATTTTAAGTTATGTCTAAATAATTTAGGAAACAGAATAATTATATTAAGTAACTCATTAATCTTACCTTAAGAACACTTTATGGCAGCAATACCCAAAAGGAAACAGTAAAGTTTTAAAAATACAACCACAGTAAACCTCTTGATTTGACGGAGGGAAAAAAATTCGACGCATTAGACACATGTGCGTGCTAGGTATTGTTATACTGAAAAGTAATGGAAAATGGATAAGTTATCTGTGGCGCCATGTGAAGCGCTACACATGCGCGATATGTACTAAATTTTTAGGAATTTTATTCCGGATCATTGGCGCGAAATTTAAAATGTCCCAGTATAGAACCTGTCCCAGTATACAACAGTCTCCCCTACCATGCAAATATGACCACTCCTCACTTCTAAGAGCTAGTTGTAAAGTCTCTCACTAAGTTGGAATTAAAATTTCGAGAATAGAATGATGTGCATTTATCACCTACATAAACGTTTAGATCAGCTGAAACAATCTTGTGGTCATTAATTGAATTGTCGGACACTATAACATTTCCACATAGAAAATTTACAAATATAAGAAGAACATTGTGATGTGACCCTTGTAGGGTCTGTTATAATAAGAAAAAGACCGAATTCGTGACAAATATCCGCAAAATCGTTAAAATTCTTATTTTCACTAGAACAATTACAATTAAAATCACCAGTTAGCACAATTTTTCTGTTGCAAATGAACTAAAAAACACTACACACTAGATGAAGGCGACCTATAGCATGACAAAATTACATACATAGCACCATTTAACTTACAGGTCAGCGCGCAAACTTCCAAAGTCTTATCTTCACAAAACTTGTCAAGATTTATCACATTATAGTTAACATTTGCTTTTATCCATACTGCTACTCCACCACCTTTAGAAGTCTTCCTACAATAATTGATAGCCAGCACAAAGTTGTCCAAATGAAAGGCCCCAATTGATTCTGTACATGCCCAGGTCTCGGTAAGGCATAGAAAAAGAGCAGAGCAAGAATTCTCTCCACATACTGAGGTTTAACAGATATTTTGCAAGACAGCCTTGTTGATGTAGCTTGTTTATACAATACTGTTTGGTAACATGTAATTACTGGTATGTTGTGCTCCTTCAAAACTTGCTTCAGCTTTTCTGATGTTGACTGTACTTACATTGCCCACCTATAATGTTCTACAATCTTCTGCAGCAGATATAAAGGAATTATCCTTACTTGAGCCTTTTATTGTGTTGGTTGATGCATGTGCTGGTTTATTTTCCCGTATTCTCCTTAGCTCCTGCATCTGTGGTAGGTGAGTTAGCAGCTGTCAAATCTATGTATTTATTGAAGGCTCCTCGTGAAGCTGCTTCTAAGACAGCAGGCCCAACTTTTTTCATTGTGAAAGGACCATCCGTTTCAGATCCATGGCTGTTTTATTGGCATGATGCATTTGCAGTTAAAGTTTTCAGAAACTCTGTGTGTTCCTTCCTAAAACTACTACCGAGGGATTTATCAAGCTCATTAATCTCTTTTTTAATAACAACTTTCAATGTACTATATCAATCTGACAAGCTACTTCACTCATACATACTTTTATTATCTCCTGTAAGTTTTTCTCAATGAGATCTCTATGTTTCGTTTTTCCTTTCTCCTTTGCGACAATATCCAGGCGCTGTTCAAGATTATCAACTTTGTTATTCAGTTCAACTATCTGATCTTCCTTTATCAGCTTGATTTTCTTTACATCATCTTCCACCTTCTTCAGCCTTTTTTCCACTTCGCCGATTTGAGCCTTTTTCAAGTCTTCAAGATTTTCGCTGAGAAAAACTGGCAACGTCTAGCCCAGAACTCGGGAATTTCAATTGTGTTGCACGTTGTTATTATTGAAATGTTTAGCAATAAAGCAATATTTCAAGTGATGCCTTCAATGTATATTAATTATCACCACTTAATTCCGATGGTATTGAAACTTTTGGCTAATTAACACTTGAAACAACACCAAAAAACAATTTCTTCTGGACCAAAAAAAACCTTCACTTCCTTATCCACTTGTGTCTTCACTTCTGATCCTAAAATGACTCAGGGTAGTTTCACATGGGTACATGATATGGACATACACTGAGAACCAAATTTGTCTGATGGCTTGAGTTCAATGTGCATGAGATAGAAGTGTGTATATAGACACATATGAAAGAGATAGAAGCCGCCTGGATAGCGATGCTCATCACGGCGTTGACTAGCAATGCTGACGCGGCAATCTGCCGTGGTGTCAATATGTTACACAAGTGCGTTGAATTAAGATGCATATTGAAAATATGCGCTAGTTTATTCTGTACGCCCAAATAATGGTTTTATTTTGAGCGTACACATTTTTGAATTGTGAATTGTGTCGAATCCGTTTAGGATTTATTCCCGATCGGTCCTAATATCGCTCCATTTTAGGTCGAAATGAAACGTGAGGATCGCCACAAATTCTGCAGCATTGCATCATTGGTTCGTTTGATAACACCGCGTCTTGTACATTCCAAGGCACTGAATTTAAATCCTATAGATTTTTGATTTCAGAGGAAGCTACACAAACCAACTCTTGGCTCTCGAGGCGGTACCAATTTTAATTTGGGAAAGACTAAACCAAAATTAATCCTTACATACTTTTGGGTTTTCTCTACAGAAACGCGAAATACCAGTTGTTTTTCGACTTTTGCTGCATTTTTTTGTTGTTTTTGATGCCTTTTGAGTATTCATATACATATAGACATAAGTTTCAGTTTAAAGTGAATATAGCAGGTCTGTGAAGTTAGCCATAAACTATCGCGAGCAAGAAATTCATTTATGCCATTCGTTTCTCTATCAATTGTCGATATTTGTCCACCAATTCATTTCATTTTCCCCCCTTTTTAGCCCCCTAAAATAAAAAAAAATAAATTTTAGGGCTAACAGCACGCAACCCCAAAATTTTCGAATACTAATAAAAAAACGTTTTATTCTCGTCTGACCAACGTTAGTCCACGTTTGTGAACCATTTAATTTCTTTTGTCGGTCTTTTGAATTTGGCGGCAATAAAAAAAACTCGGTCCAAGCTGACCTCAAATTACACGTCAAATAATAATAATAATAATAATGTTTATTGTCACAAAATACAGGTAAATATCAAGTATTGTGCACAATAAACATAAAGCACCCAAATAATGTTTGCACTTGTGTTTGTACAAAATAAAAACTAATAGTACAGTCAGTGTAAAAAAAAAACCCGTTAATACTGTATAATTTGGTGAATTATTATGGTAATGTCAGGAAAAATATTCAGACAATTAGAACTAAAGTAAAAGTATGGATGTTAGTGTAAGTAAAATATTATTAATTTTGATAATGATTTTTCAGATCTACAATTTCGTGGATGGAGTACCTTGGTTGTTGTAAAATCCATTTTTTTAGTTCTTTTTTAAATGATTTATTTGATTTAATTACTTTTAATGACTCTGGTATGAAGTTATAGAATTTTGGTCCCAAGAAGAACAGAGATCGTTGTGTAATGGTTTTTGATGTTTGTGGATTACACATTGAATGTTGATTGAATCTTGTTGGGTAGTTATGAATGGTACGATTAAAGTATTTTGAATATTGGAAATAATGTATTAGACCACAATAAAAATAAATTTGTCTGCAATCTAATAGCTGAGCCTCCACATATAGAAAATCACTTGAATAAGTAATCTCCCTATGGAGGATCAATTCTAGAATTAATTTTTGGATTACATCAACCTTTTTGTAATTATTATTCATAACTCCCCCCAAATATGTTCAATAAAACTAGTTTTTGATATTTATTGACCCTTTGAAACACATCTACCTATTAAATTCATTAAAGTACAAATATATTTTCTTCAAAGAATTGGAAATGGGATTGGCTTCACGACCCTGTAAAATAGACGGAGATGCTCCCATTGTAGACGTTTGTCCACCCCACAGATCTAAAAAACCTGCAGTCGATGATAAGCGATGTGAATAGGGCAACGTGCATGGTACTTTATTAAAATTGCTCTGTGTTTCTTCTAAAATCTCTAGTGAGCTTTGTATGTGAGCTGCATGGTGAATATATTAACTTGTCAGTTATTATTATTTGTTAAGTTGCGATTGTATAAATTAAAAGCAGCCTCACAACTTCACCAGGATTCTGTTGGGGGGTGAAGCGCCAGTAGTAGTATTTTGAGAAAAAGTTTCAGAGGGGTGTTTTTAAAACCTATGGATATGGATGGGTGGACCTAACATATGTATATGGATGCATGGACAAATGAGTGCAACCATACCCACCCTTGTTGTCATCTCCAAGGACTCTGCAGAAATGTGAGGTTAGCCATAGCAGTAGTATTAAGAAAGATGTTCAAGATAATTGAAGGAGTTTGAATGGGTGTTTTTTTAGTTCCGTGGGATGGACAAGTTTCTATGGTGGGCGGACAAAGGAATCCAATCATGCCAACGCTTGATGAAGCATCTCCGACGATTCTGCAGGGGTGTGTACACAGTTCGGAGTCCTGTGACCTGTGACTCCGAACTGTGAACACCTTCTGAAGATGCCAACCACTCGTGTTGGCGAAACGTCAAATAAAAATATTTTAGGACGGCCTATCTACCCAAAAACCAACCAAATAACATTGGATGATGGCCGCGAAAGCCTTTCGCATTGCATTGGCTGTGTATGTCGTGTACCCGGTACTCAGTGCATCCCCATATTTATGTGTAATTAATGGGAGTCAAATCCTATCTTTGATGACATTAGTTCTAAAAAATATCACTTTTTTAACCGACTGCATCAGGAGGGTAATGTTTTTCGCTCACGAATATATGTTTATTTATCTAAAAATTCTGTTTCACGGCTTACATCCCAAACGGCTCTATGGGGTTTTACAAATGATGTTGTTAGATTTGTCTTAGCAGTGCGAGGAATACTGGCTATATTAAAATTTTATAAAAACAAAATGACGGATTTCAATAAAAAATCCCCAACCTTAAAGTTCCTATTTCGCAGACTACAGCTTAAACCTTAAACGGCTTGATGGATTTTAACATATTCATCTTGGCAGTGCAATTGACATCGGTAAAATTTTATTAAATCAAAATGGCGGATTTTAATCAAAGCTTCTAAGCTTGGAATTTTTATTTAACGGGCCTAAAAACGGCTTGATGGATTTTAAAATTTACGGTGTCGTTAGATTCGCCTTGAGAGCACAATTAAAAAATTCATT